CCACGCGCAGTCAGCTCCTGATTCCATCGCTTTGCTGTCCTCTCTGTCTCTCCCTGCTGCCTGATGCTCTCGGTGGGTGGCCACAGCCTGCTCCAACCAGCAGATCCGCCAGACGTGTGTGCGCAAGAGTCTGATCTGCGCCTTCGCCATCGCCTTCATCATCAGCGTCATGCTCATTGCGGCCAACCAGGTGCTGCGCAGCGGCATGAAGTAGGCGCATGCGGTGCCCGGGCCGCTCCACACCACGCCACCCGCGGCCCTCTCCTTCGTCTGGCTCCTTGGGCCACCACCTGCGAGTACTCTGGGGCCTGGACGTCAGGCGACCCCACCCCACCCACCCCACGTGCCTTGCATGGAGCCATGGCCTGGCTGTGGAGGGCCGGGTGGCAGCTCTGTAGACAGCCCCAAGTCCTGCCTACACCTTGCCTGTGCCCCCATCTGGCCTGTATGTAGTGCTCTTTCTGCAGTCCAGGGGCTCCTGGGAAATGAAGGAGGGGTTTGTACAGGAACTCCCAAGACCCAGTTACTGTACCTGCCTGCCCAGGGTCACACAGCCAAACCCAGCCCTGACCCCTGAGGTTTGTCCAGGGCTGCAGGCAGGGCGGAGGAGGTAGAGGCAGAAGTTTCCTCCTGGAGAAGGGTGTGGGGCTGGAGTCTTCTAGACCCTGCTCCTGAGCATGATCTGAGGGCTCTGGTCTCCTGGGTCCTTCCTCTGACCCTCCTTAGACCCAAACCCAACCCTCCTTCATGTACCCACTGGGGCCAGAGTCAGCCTATTTCATAGGTGAAGAAACTGAGGCTCAGAGGGCCTGAGCTCTGGCCTCGGTTCCCTGTCAACAGGGATTTTCAGGAAGGGCAGAAGCTCATGGAGGAGCTCACTTGAGGCAGCCCCGTGGCCCCCTTTATCTTCTGGGCTCTCCACTTGAGGCCTAGGGACTAGAGGCCACATTATCTGCCACCCCAGCGCAGAACCAAGGACTGTAGAGCACCCAGGGAAGGCAGCAGAGCTGGTGCCTGAGGCCTCAAACAGCCTGGGTGGCTTGTGTGATCTCCTCATCACTGGCCAGGGGACCTCTTGGGACAGACCTCGGGAGGATCCCCATGCCCAGCTCAGCCAAGGCACTCTCCCAGGCCCAGGGCCTGCCCTCCTGGGTCTCCCCTCCCACATACCCTCCAGGCCAGAGACAGCTCCTTCTCCTCTCTAGTGGCACCCTCTCAAATGCTTGGGTGCCAGCTCAGTGTAGGCCCATGTGGGGCTGCAGTGTGCTAGGGCTCGGGTCTGCCGGGGCTGGGACACAGGTGGAGTCTTTGGGTTTCTCCCCTCAGACCTGGAGCCGCTTCTCATGGGGGCCACGGCACAACGACGCAGGCACACCCTCTATCCACGCTGAGCCCCACTGGCCCCCAAGGGAGAAGGGCAGCAAGCACGGACCACCTGGAGAGGATCTCGTCTCTCTCCAGCCCTGCCCTCCCTCTGATAAGGGGCCTGATGGAACCCAGAGCTCAGAGCGCCAGGCTGGGGAAGCACAGCCAGACCACCATGGTGACAGACTTTCTTTATAAGCATCTGGAAGTTCTCTCACCCATTTTCTCAAGACATCCCATGGGGGAGGGTAGGCAGGTGGAGAAGAGGGTAGAGATGCCTGGCACAGATGGAGCGCCAGGGCAGCACCTGGTGGGGGAACCCCTGAGACTCACTAATGTGAGGCTGAGAGTCTTGGAGGCTCCAGGGATGCAGCAGGAAGAAGGCTTGGCCTCCTTGTCTTTATTGGGACTGAGAGAGCTGACCAGGTCAGGAGGGTCAAGGGGACCAGGCAGGGGTAAGGTAAGGGGCTCAGCCCCACTGGACTCTGGGCTGTAGAGGCCACCCTCCAGGTGGGGGTGCCCGCAGGGAAGGGGGAAGCTCCTGGATAGGCGGCCAGCCCACAGGGTACTGGAAGATGGTGGCTCTGATAGGTTCGGCCCTAGAGGAGGAGATGGGAAAAGAATTAGAGTAGGGGCCCAGGAGCAACTCCTGCCCTCAGCTCACCTGCCCCACCACCCCAGCTATGGAGAGGGTCAGCTGCCTGCATGACATTTTGGAAGGCAGAGGCTTGAAAACATGAAGACCTCCAGGAATTGAGCCCAGGGAAAAGCTGGGTTGGAGATGGAGATGGAGCTACAAGAATGGCCGCAAAGCCATGGAAAGAGCCTTGGTGTCCACCTGTGAGGGCCTGATTAAATACATATGCACGTTCACAGCAAAGATGCTATGCAGCCTGCGTGAAAAATTAAGGCAGACTTATATGCACTGACAAGGAAAGACATACTATGTGATGAGGGAGAAAAAGCAGCTTATAAAATAATGTATATAGCATGATACTATTTTTGTTTAAAGATATATAACATATATAAATGCATAAAGCAAAAACCTGGAAGACACAGCAAAATTTTAACAGTGCTTCTATCTGAGTGGTGCAATTATGGGTGATTTTTTTACTTCTTTATACTTTTCGAAAGTTTTACAAGCACGCAAGCCTTTGAAATCAGAAAAAAATATTGTCTAAAATTTTTTTAAAGCCTCATTTCTCATGCTACTCACTCTCCTCTTCCTCAGTGTCCACCTGCCCTGCCAAGCCACATCCCCAAGATCCCAGGGCCCGCTTGAAGTGCCCACCCTTGGAAAGGTGTCCTCTGTGCCAGCCAGGGCACCCTCCTCCTCACCCCTCCACTTGTTCCACATTCAGATCCTTCTAGACTCAGGGACCCCTCTGGCTCCTGGTCCCGGCCCGCAATGCCCTTCTCAGCTACAAAGCACTTCGAACCTCTGAGCACTTTGAACACACCTGGGCTCATCTGTCTCTCTGGGGGGACTGGAGCTCTTAGAGAGTGGAGCCAGAGGGTAGGGGTCGGGTCTGTCTGCACCCCCATGCCTGGTGCCAGGAGGCCTCCCAGCAACTATTTGCTGAATGACAAACTGCAATGTCAAGAGTTCTTCCTGATTAGAGACTATTCTGGGCTAGACACCATGGCCTAGACAGACCTCAAGGACCCTCACACAGGACTGGCCCTGTGACACAGCAATTAATCTCTGTACAGAAGGAACCGGATCTCACATGGCTGATCAGGGTTTGAGTCCTGGCCCCAGTGGCTTAGAAAATATGCCAGGTGTATACACATGACCAAGATTTTAACAGGATGGAGAACTGGGAGAAAAAGGATTGTGGTGTGACCAGGCCTCATTGGGTGGGGGGTTCTCTCTTTCTAGTGCATGTGCCCTCTCTTTTTTTTTTTTTTTTTTTTTTTTTTTTTTTTTTTTTTTTTTTTTTTTTTTTTAAGGCCTTATA